ACAACAATAGGTTTGGCCACATTACTTATACCAGCTCCAGGTGACCAAAATTTATTAAGCATTTCATCATCTTCATTGAAGTCAGGGGCTCCTTGTATGGAAGCACAGGCTAAGGCCCATGTGGCACAACAGTTTTCAACAATTTCGGTCATTTCTTGAAAATACTCAAATCCTTTTGTCCTAAATTTCTTAACATTTTTTGTTGCCTACAGCAATTGAAAATATTAAAAATAAACGTTCTGTATGTGTGATCAAATGTTACAAAAAAAAAATGAAAATGATACAAGTTAATTCAATACATTTTCCCAAAATTCATCGAGTGCAACAACCGTTCTACAATAGGATCCCATCCTAGATCGATCTGTGCCTGCAATCACTTGAAGGTTTGGTAATTAACTTTCAGTCGCTGATATTTTTGTCTCACCTGTTTTGGTGCGTATCGAAACCCATACAAATTTTGCAACTCAGTTGCAAAATGATTCCAATGCCTAATTATCCACACAGTACTACGGCCTGTTGTTTGATTTTTTTGTACCTCGTCTCTCAGCATGTTTATTAGCTTCATTTCAATTCTGGAACTCCAGATTCTTGTGTCCTGATTATCATCAGAATTGTTGTCATCCATCTAGCAGCACACAATTTATATCTAAACAAATCTGAATTGGATATTAAAAAATAAAAATGCAAGAATCATCTCTAATTATGTTTCGGTAGGAAAAAAAGTTCATCAATTGAAGTTGTTAACAGTGTTGGGAAAAACAGATACAATAAGAAAAACAAGAATATAGCTAGGAAAAAAAATTCGTTAATTGAAGTTGTTAACAGTGTTGGAAAAAACAGATACAACAAGAAAAAATAGAATATTGCATGCAAAAAGTTTGTGAAAGAAGTGTACACAGTAGACAATAAGCAGAAATAAGCAGAAGAAGAGCAAAAGAAGAAAAGAAACATCAAAGGGATAAGTGGCGGTCGATCCAGATGAGAGGGAGCTTGGTTGGCGGTTGACCGGCCGGAAGACTAGTGGAACAACCGACAGGTTGTCCTAGCGGTTGACCGGTTTGACAGATCAGAACTGTAAGAATTTGGATTTTTGGACAACTAATTAAGTTTGTTAACAACAATATTAAGTCAATTAACAGTGATTATTAAATTATAGAATTATAATTATTTATCTTTCTGTGATAAAATGTTTGTAACTAAATACAGTTGTGGAAACTAAATGAGTTAAATGAATAGTAACTAAATTAATCAGAGGATAGTAGGGAGCAAAATATCTAGTGACTAAGTTATATATATTAATTGATTTTTATTTTGTATACAAAAAAAAATGAGAGAAGAGAAAATCAGATTTGTTTTGGGCAGAGGAATTGAGCTGTCTTTCTTCCTAAGAGGCTGCTATCAAAGCATGCCAAGGCATGCATAAAAGCATACTCTAAAGCCTATACATATATATGATAATTCCAAGCCTCTGTCAAAGCATGCTAAGGCATGCATAGGAACATACTCTGAAGCCTGTACATATAGATGATAATTCCAAGCCAAGAGGAAAAATAAAATAAAAATAGGCCTCAAAACTCCTACATAAGGACCCCATCTTCAGCCATGTTAGAGATACACGATTGAGCAAAAAATAAAAAATAAAAAAGAGAGAGAGAGAGAAAGAGTAGAAAAGAAAAGAAAAAGAGAGGAAGAGGAGAGGGCACTTGGTGATCATCATTTCAAAACTAGTTTTGAGAATTGTTTGTAAAAGCTCTTAAGGTAAGAAGACTCAACCTTTATCCTCCCTTAGATATTTTTTTAACTGAATCTATATATCGAAAATATGCAAAAGTGTGCATTGTTAATACACACATAGCAATAATAGCTCAATGTATGTTTACATTTTGATAGAATGATAATCTTATGATTATATGATTTCTATCCCTCTTGCAAGTATAGATTAGATGGTTTAGTTACTGATTTTTCTTCTTATGTGTCTAAATATTCTCCATTGTTTGAAATAATCTTGCATGCTTATGAATTTGTGTTCACTCTTCATAAATATTTATTTTCAACTATTTTCTATTCCCACTAATGAACGTAAATGTGAAGGATTAGAGTTTCACATGGAAATAGTAGCAATAAATAATTTTTATAGTCTTGCGTGTGATTCATGGTGAATACAAAGTGTGTTTTTCACAAAATAATGAACTTCCAGCAAAACAGATTTTTAATCCGTTTTGAATAAACCCAAACAAACACATGAGAACACTTTCATAAAATCTAAAACTACTGGAGTTATTTTAACATGTTTTTATGGTGCTAGAATATCAAAAAAAAATTATTTGACAACATTTCGTGGCCAAAACATATGTTTAACTTCATTGTTTTTTGGAGGCAGCAACAATGCTGACTTTACTAGGTCACCGTTTATTCTACAGAATGAATTTTCAAATGATTCAAATTAGAAAAGTTAGATTTTTAAGTTACCTTTCAAATGCTGCTGGTTTCATAGTTTTTTTTATTAAGCATTGAGAGAGAAACATCAATTTTTTCAAAATGTGATAGAATCTGTCCAGTTTTCTTAGAAAAATTATTTGACCATTTTCCATTGGTTTTCAGTCCTCAAACTCTCCTGGAAATATATCCTAAACTCAATTATCTAGCAAGCCGTTTTGGCCATACCTCTTTTTAATACCGTTTGAGGCCCCTTTTTATTTTTCAAACACAAATCACCTGTGCTGGAAATTACTGTAACTCACTGTCCCAGAAAAACCAATTTTCTTTCAAAATTTATTTCTCCATTTTAAAATCATTTTTAGCCCTAATATTCTCTAGAAATATTTTCCTAACTCGATGAACTAGCACCAGTTAAAATATTGTAATGGTTGAACTTCGTTTGGTTTGGGTTTCATATTTTGTTAGACCATACAGTGCTGAAAGAAGAAGTGTGTCAATTCCTAAGAAACTTTGTGATGAGTCTTAAGACATTCTATCATACCTATTTTGGTTACCATACATGATTGTGTTGTGCTATATAAACATTATGACACTGTGGTTTTCACACTAAACTCGCACATACATCAAAATGTGAATTAGACGAAGTAAAGAAAAACGAAATTGAATAGATACATTAAAGTTTACAAGTGATAGGGTGAGCCTAGTTTATAATCTTACGCAAGTGAGTTGCGAACCCTAACATGGCACGGGAAGGTATTTCGGCTCTTATCGGTGTAGGCGATGTAAGGTTGGTGGTGCGAGTATCACAACATAGACCATTTCCTTGGGGCAGATCGTGATGTCACGACTCGGGTACGTAACCCTGGTGCGTGAACATCATTGGTAGTTATAGCAAGTAACATTTGAATATTTGACCAAGGGGGCGTCAGAATTGCCCATGGCCATTACTTAACGGTTGAGTGGAAATAGTGCTCCGCGAGGAGTTACTTAAACTTATCTGATAAACTAAATCTATGAGAATTTAAAAAGAAAAGTGGACATTTTCCTTATGATGAAATACTGCTTCCGTTTACCATTATTTTTATTATCTATTGTTATTATTTCAACTGATAACATTCTTGTTATGCTTATTAAATGCTACTTGTTATTATGTTACTACACATTATTCATTAATTATGAGTATTATTATTGGGGTGGGTATTTTTGGGTTGTAGTATCTTATTGAGCTCGTTACTCATTGGCATTCCTATTGCCCTGGCATTTTCTGCAAGGTACCAAAGAAACCGAAGAAAATATCAAGGCCTTGCAAGGTGACATTCAGTCTTGGTTAGCTTGAAGAGTGCCCAAGTTCCATGAACCATTTTCTATGTTTTTTTTTTATTTATTTTTTTTTATATATTTGTGTGTGTGTGTGTGTGTTTTTTTTTTTTTTTTTTTTTTTTATGTACTAAGACTAAGTTTTAAGTTTTATTGGAGTTGTAATTTTAGAACTTTTAATTTATGGGTTGTTAATTAATGGATGTTAGTAATATTGGTGGCAACATTGATGATGAGTTCTTAATTAAGAACAATGATTTTAAATTCTAAATCTTATTATGATGTCCTTAAATTTTGAGGCGTCACAAGAACCATTTCTGCATCTCAACTATTACATAGCGGATCGATTGAAGGATTGAATGATATATGACTAGCAGATCGATTGAAAGATATATGTACTAAAGCAGTAGGAGTGGAATAGTTGTCACCGGTGACAGAGAGGATATAGTATGTAGATGTGCGCTTCTTCGGTAGGCGTCTAATTCGAGAATACACTTCATAAATTTGGCCTGACACATATAAATTGGGAATGAATTTTGGGATGTTTGAGGAAATCAGTGAGTTATAATTTAAAATTTGAGAGAAATTTATGATTTAATTGACTTCGGTCTTGTCGTTGTTTCGTTGCTCGGAGAGTGAATGTTTCACAACGCACAAATTGTAACTCACTTGATTTGTAGGAGCTGGTAGATGTGATTTTATGGATGAAAAGGGGGTTCACAGACATAGTTTAGATTTGAAGGTTTCAGTTCAAAGAGATTAACACGACCCTCGAAAAATCTTGAGTTGTGATCGTTAAAAGAGAGGAAGTAGGTGAAGCTTTTCAGAAATTCAGATTTAAATTTCTTTCACGTGAAGCTTTTCAGAAAATGGAGAATATCGAAGACACAAAGTATGTACCGTTGGAAGCTTTTTACAATGGAGAAACGAATGGAGAAATCTGCCAAATAGGAAGTGGAGATGTATTTTGAATTGTATGGTAGAATTACGATTTGAAAATTGTATCCAAATGTGAAGTGCAAATGTACATATAGAAATATATTTTGAGAATACGACCAAACACAACCTAAATTTTTTTTGGACTAAAAACCAAAGTTTCCAAACGGGGCATAAGTGCGCATGGGCCTAAACTAGGCCCAACCATAACTATCAACCGGGTCAGTTCGTTTGATAGTTTGACCCGCCACCATTTTATAACCCGAGCTTGTGTCTGTCTGAGAGAGTCTGAGAGTATAGGGTTTTTCGCAAAACCCTAGCCGACCCCAAGAAGACGAAGAAGAAGAAGAAGAACATCTCCAATCTCTCTCTCTCTCTCTCTCTCTCTCTCTCTCTCTCCCCTCTCTCTCCCCTCCCTCCCTCCCTCCCTCCCTCTCTCCTTATACAGCAAAAATGGCTGCTACAGCTTTTAGTAAGAAGAAGGGAACAAAGTCGCAAAAACCTCCACCAAAAAAGAAGCAAAAGAAACAAGAAAAAGAAGAGCTTTTTAGTGATTCTGATAACACAGATGAAGAAGTAAAACAACATGGCCAATTTGATGAAGAAGAAGAAGAAGGAGAGGAAGAACAAGGAAGTGGTTCGGGTTCTGAGATGTCTTCTGACGGGGATGATGCCTTGGCGGATGATTTTCTCCAGGGAAGTGACGATGGAGGTATTAGGGTTTTTTGGTGAATTGGGTTTCAGATTTCTTGCGTTTTTGTTAATGGGTTTGTTGATTTGGGTTTGGGTTTATTGGGTTTTGTTGCAGAGGAAGGTTCTGATTTGGATTCTGATTCTGATGAGTCTGATATTGAGGAGAAATCAAGAGCTATTGAGGAAGAGAAGGCGAGAGAAGAAGAAGAAGGAGAGGCTGAATTGCAACTCAACATTAAAGAAGAAGCTGATGAATTCAGATTGCCTACCAAAGAGGTTAAATTTTGTGATGTTTCTTGTTCTATAGTGAATTTTTTTGACTTTTTTATGCTAATGTTTGCTTCTTTCTGCAATAACATAGGAACTTGAAGAAGAGGCACACGGACCCCCTGATCTCCAAAATCTCCAAAGGAGGATAAAAGAGAGTGAGTTAGAGCACCTCCAACCTTTCACCAATTTTTTCAGCTAATTTGATTCGAAAATTTCAGTAAAAACCTTGATTTGATATGAACTATTCCAATTCTTTCATCAAAATCTTTGTAAAAATTTCCCTCTTTATCCCAAATTTCCCTTTCATCAAATTTGATGAAAAAAAGAAAAAGAAAAAAACATCTCCAATGCTTCATCTTTTGAAATTTTCATCAAATTAAAATTTGATGAGTTTTCAATTTGATGAAAAAAAAAAAAAAAAAACTCTCCCTTGATTTGACGAAAGAATTGGAGATCATTTTTTAGCACTTTTTCATCAAATTTAAATTTGATAAAAGAAAAGGTGAAGGATTGGACCCTTATAGGATTTAATTCTCTCCCCCACCCCCAATAAATAAATAAATAAATAAAATAAAATAAAATTATGTGGGTCTTGTTCTAAGTATATTTTTTACAATTCCATTTCAGTTGTGCGGGTACTTTCAAATTTTAAGTCTTTGAGACAAGAGGGGGAAACACGAAAGAATTATGTTGAGCAGCTTACATTGGATTTAGGATCATACTATGGTTACAATGAATTCTTGATTGGGGTATTGGTGGAGGTAATCTGTCAATATTCTCTGTTGTGGTACTTAGTCTTTTGCTTTGTGAAGATTTTCTGTTGCTCAATATGTATTTTCTACAGATGTTTCCAGTTAATGAACTTATGGAACTAATTGAAGCTTTTGAGAAGCCTCGACCTATTTGTCTCAGAACCAACACCTTAAAGGTGAAATGTCACGTGCATGTTGCCGTGTTTGAACTTGTAACTTGTTTTATGCTTCTTTGCTGAACATGGTGTGTACTAAAATCAGTTTACTTTTCTGTCAAAAATGTAGTCACGACGACGGGATTTGGCTGGTGTTCTGTTGAACAGAGGGGTAAACTTAGACCCGTTGAGCAAGTGGTCAAAAGTAAGATTTACTTTAGTATGCCTTTTTGTCCCCTTTATCATTTTTATTATATAGTCAATTAACCGTCTTTCGAATTTGCAGGTTGGACTTGTTGTGTATGACTCACAAGTTCCGATTGGTGCCACTCCTGAATATATGGCTGGTTATTACATGGTATTATCACTAGCTAGCATGTTTTCTTGTTCTTCCTTTCCCCTTATCCCACCCCCGGCCCTGCTCCCAACCCCAACCCCTGTGGAAAAAAAAAAAAAATATTGTTTTGGGTTTTATGTGGTTTGCCTAGTGCTCATAGTAAGTTTGCTTACAGTTGCAAAGTGCAAGCTCTTTTTTGCCTGTGATGGCCCTTGCTCCTCAAGAGAAGGAAAGGGTTGTTGATATGGCGTAAGTAACTGAACTCTTTCACACAGAAATGTCTACTTGCTATCTATCTGAATTTTTTTGCATTATCCTATGTTTTTAGTTTCTTATTTTCATTTGAGCAAGTTTAATGGCTAAGTTTCTCTTTCTTTCTTTGCTTTTGTTTTATTATACTTTAAATCTTGTGTTTTGTTTTCCTCTTTCTCTTCTTCATGTTAATGTTATTTTTGTTGATGGGTAAGGTAAGTAACCAAAGCATCCTTGCATACTTCCAGCCTTGAAAATTGCTGTAGTTAGCTTGTGATTCCATTGCACAATTCTTATATTACGAATGTGTAGCATAATTTAACCTTTGAGACAATCTGAGACAAAACAGTGTAAAGCAAGCTCACTTTAGGGACACTAATATCTTGCCTTATTTTCATGTTCACTTGTTTGTGTGAGACATGGTAGAGTTGATTGATGTATTCAGTCTCACACACTAGTCATGGACATTTATGCAATCAGAGGCATAGGATTATATGTGGTCTCCATGTCCACGTCTCATGTGTTATCTTCACTGCTTCTTTCTATCTGCACTCTCTCTCTTAATTGCAATTTATACTTTATTGCAGGGCTGCTCCTGGTGGTAAAACAACCTACGTTGCTGCTCTTATGAAAAACAGTGGTGTGTAGTGATTTCCATCTTGACTCTCTTATTTCAATTGCACTTATGCTTTCGATTAATTCATATTCTTGTTATGGCTTACTCACAACTTGTTGGGTTGAGCATACTTGTTTGAATGTATGCATGAGTTTGTGTGCATTTGCTTGTTTATGCGGGGAGATACAGGTTTACCCTATTTCCACCTACACAATAAAGTGTGACACTGTCTATTGAGCAACTTGGAGGAATTTTCAACCGAAATGGCGGTCATTTACTTTCTTAAAATTTAGTTAAAATACAAATCTTCATTTATTCTGATGTCAGACAAGTTGGTGTATGATGTTTATTCTGCTGATGTATGTATAGCCATTTTTTTGCACTCAAAAAGTTGCCAACAACAAATTGTCTTTGGGCAAAGTCCTTGTTGATTTTTTTCTCCTTGCTCTAGTAGCTATATGAATACCATGTCTCTTTCCTCCCTGTTATCTAATGCAATGGTTACTAGGTATAATTTATGCAAATGAGATGAAGGAGTCAAGACTCAAGTCGCTTACTGCAAATTTACATCGTATGGGGGTGACAAACACTATAGTTTGCAACTATGACGGGAGAGAGGTAAGCATCTTGTTTTGTTGCCCTTAATTCTTTTCTATTGCATTATATAAATGCCATATTTCCTTGGGACTGAATGATTGCAGTTTGAATATGTGAATTGTTATTTTGTTAAAAAAAACATCCTGTTTAATGTGGCAAAGGGGAAACTTGATCTCTGATGATCTTTTCTTGCATTTTAATAAATTTCTTCTGTGATGCACTGGTTTTAATAATTTGGGCCTTTAGTGATCTTTTCCTTCTTATTTTTCCAAGGGTGCTTCTTGCATCCTTTTTACTTCTCGACACTCGCTTCCGCACCCATTGTATTCTATGGTAATTTTGTAAGTTCCCCTTCAATTCTGGTGAATATATCTAATGCCTTTATATTTTTTTCCTTTTTCCTTCCGATTCCAGTTGCCCAAAGTTTTGGGTCAGAACACAGCTGATAGGGTTTTATTAGATGCTCCTTGCAGCGGTACAGGGGTAAGTGACCAGTATCCCTGTCCATTTATGTTCTCTCAATGAGTGGGTTCTCTTTGTTGTTTACTGATCAAAGTTGTACTTGTGTTGCAGGTTATATCTAAAGATGAGTCTGTCAAAACCTCTAAAAACTTGGAAGATATACAGAAGTGTTGTCATTTGCAGAAGGTATTATTTGTTTGTTGATAAACATTTCCTATGTAATGCTGTTAATCTAAATCAATTGTCATTTTCACTGGTGGATTACTAGGGAAGAAGTTAATGTTTTTTTTTGTTGATGCACTCGATATTTTATATATTGCTTTTTTTCTAATTTTTTCTCCTTTTCTTGCCATGCATTTTGAGCCGTTTTTTATGGTGCCTCAGGGAGCTATGTAAATTCTCTTAACCCCACAATTAGAGCTAGTAGATTTTAAGCAGGTGGGAAATTACATCAGGAGACTAGAGGAAATCAGGAACTTAAGTACAGAGATTTGAGATTTTTTTTTTTTTTTTTTTGAAAATAAAAGAAAATAAAGTGGAAGAGAAGTATGTGAATAAAATTGAAGAGAAATGTGTGAATGTGAAAGGAAGAAAAGAAAAAAAAAAATAAAAAGGAAATGGGAGATTCAAATTTGTTTGGTCGGGTCCTACCAAAAAAACATATTTTTGGATGGGTTCTTTGAGAAAGAGATATTATTGTAGAGTGGATATTTGAAAGAGATTAAAAGTGAGTTGGAGAAAATAAATAAAAATAATGAAGTTGGAATCAAACGGAGGAGAGAGGGGACAAGCCCACATGGGTGTCTAGGGAATGAAAATTCAAAGGTGAGTGGAGTTGATTTTTATTTTTATTTTTTATTTATTTGTTTTTATTTTTTTGGTCGAATATATATAAATATATATATAATATCAACTAGTGACATACCTCATCACAAAACACGTCCCACCTCTGCACTATACACACGTTTACCAATAAGCTTTACAGCTGCTCAAGCACTAACCCATAATACATGGCAAAAACCATGTGCTGGTGCACAAAACCATGGCCCAGAATACCAATCACGTGTATCTCTACACTATGCACGAAATCAAAATAGCTAATCTCAAAGCAAGACCCACAGCTTAATCCACTGTTGAACATTGCTGTGCTCAGTGCTGCTGTGTTTGTTCCATACCTGTGGCTGTACAAATTCCCAAGGAGACGTGCAGCATTGCTTTCTCTGTCTCTGGTGTCAGGTGCCCTGGTCGTGATGAGCCTTTTTCTGATGAAGCAATTGCACTTATGAGAGGAGTGATAATGCAGAGGGATGTTGAGATTGAAGTGGAAAATGTTGATAGATCTGGAACTTTCTTGGGATCTTTGTGGGAGTCAAAGACTAATATGGCTGTGACACTTCTGGAAGCTGGCCTGGCAAAGCTTCAAACCTCCTTTGGCACTGATAGGATCCGGGATGCTCACCTTCTTGCACAGGCTGAGCAGTCTGCCAAAAGGCAGAAGTTAAAAATCCGGGGATGGGACGAGAACAGAGGAAGCTTCAAGGAAGAAAATTGGTGGTGATGGGTTGACTGGGTGAGTCAAGGACAGCGACTCGAAGGAGTTGGGCGTGAAGGTGGTGGACTCGAAGAAATTTCAAGGTATGTGTAGAAAATTCTAGCGGACTAGGTTGAGGTCCGGTGGGCGGCCAAGGCGAGGTTGCCGCCCGCCGGTGAAGCGAAAAATACGAACTGCTTAACCTTGCTCTGATACCATGTAGAAATTTAATGTATAAAGATAAATGATTGTATTATTGATTGATTGTATTTTGATATATATTACAATGATTCATGATTCCTATATATAGAAGAGGGTGAGTGTGTAGTAGGTAAGGAGTAGGTGAAGTGGAGGCGGTGGTGGTGTAGTGGGTTAGGTTTAGTGGAGTAGGTGAGGTGGTAGTGGTGTAGTGGGTTAGGTTTAGTGGAGTAGGTTTAAGTGGGTGAAGTAGGTGGAGAGTAGGTGGATTTTAACATGTTATCTTCACTGCTTCTTTCTATCTGCACTCTCTCTCTTAATTGCAATTTTTACTTTATTGCAGGGCTGCTCCTGGTGGTAAAACAACCTACGTTGCTGCTCTTATGAAAAACAGTGGTGTGTAGTCATTTCCATCTTGACTCTCTTATTTCAATTGCACTTATGCTTTCGATTAATTCATATTCTTGTTATGGCTTACTCACAACTTGTTGGGTTGAGCATACTTGTTTGAATGTATGCATGAGTTTGTGTGCATTTGCTTGTTTATGCGGGGAGATACGGGTTTACCCTATTTCCACCTACACAATAAAGCCTCCGTTTGGGAAGTGGGTTGGCTTTTTGGCTTTTTGGCTATTTTAGCCTGGGCTATTTTAGCCTGGTTTGGGAAGGGCTTTTTGGCTTTTTGGCTTTTTTGACTTTTTTTGTGAGAGAGGATTGTAATGATTATGGGTTGGATTTGATGTTTTGTTTTTTGTGGCTAAAATAGCCTATTTTGTTTTTTGTGGCTATTTTAGCCCCAAACCAAGTTCCCAAACAAAGGCAAAGTGTGACACTGTCTATTGAGCAACTTGGAGGAATTTTCAACCGAAATGGCGGTCATATACTTTCTTAAAATTTAGTTAAAATACAAATCTTCATTTATTCTGATGTCAGACAAGTTGGTGTATGATGTTTATTCTGCTGATGTATGTATAGCCATTTTTTTGCACTCAAAAAGTTGCCAACAACAAATTGTCTTTGGGCAAAGTCCTTGTTGATTTTTTTCTCCTTGCTCTAGTAGCTATATGAATACCATGTCTCTTTCCTCCCTGTTATCTAATGCAATGGTTACTAGGTATAATTTATGCAAATGAGATGAAGGAGTCAAGACTCAAGTCGCTTACTGCAAATTTACATCGTATGGGGGTGACAAACACTATAGTTTGCAACTATGACGGGAGAGAGGTAAGCATCTTGTTTTGTTGCCCTTAATTCTTATCTATTGCATTATATAAATGCCATATTTCCTTGGGACTGAATGATTGAAGTTTGAATATGTGAATTGTTAAAAAAAAACATCCTGTTTAATGTGGCAAAGGGGAAACTTGATCTCAGATGATCTTTTCTTGCATTTTAATAAATTTCTTCTGTGATGCACTGGTTTTAATAATTTGGGCCTTTAGTGATCTTTTCCTTCTTATTTTTCCAAGGGTGCTTCTTGCATCCTTTTTACTTCTCGACACTCGCTTCCGCACCCATTGTATTCTATGGTAATTTTGTAAGTTCCCCTTCAATTCTGGTGAATATATCTAATGCCGTTATATTTTTTTTCCTTTTTCCTTCTGATTCCAGTTGCCCAAAGTTTTGGGTCAGAACACAGCTGATAGGGTTTTATTAGATGCTCCTTGCAGCGGTACAGGGGTAAGTGACCAGTATCTTTGTCCATTTATGTTCTCTCCATGAGTGGGTTCTCTTTGTTGTTTACTGACCAAAGTCGTACTTGTGTTGCAGGTTATATCTAAAGATGAGTCTGTCAAAACCTCTAAAAACTTGGAAGATATACAGAAGTGTTGTCATTTACAGAAGGTATTATTTGTTTGTTGATTAACATTTCCTATGTAATGTTGTCAATCTAAATCAGTTGTCATTTTCACTGGTGGATTACTAGGGAAGAAGTTAATTTTTATTTTTTTTTTGTTGATTCACCTGATATTTTATGTATTGTTTTTTTTCTGATTTTTTCTCCTTTTTTTGCCATGCATTTTGAGCCTTTTTTTTATGGTGCCTCAGGGAGCTATGGAAATTCTCTTAACCCCACAATTAGAGCTAGTAGATTTTAAGCAGGTGGGAAATTACATCAGGAGACTAGAGGAAATCAGGAACTTAAGTACAGAGATTTGAGTATATAGTTTACAAACCGAAGGATATTGTACACAAAAAATGAAAGAAAAGTGTGATGAATTGGGAAAGTGCCTTGGGTGTGCATGGAGAGGGAGATTTGGAAGTGATTTCTTTTGCAGATGAATCGATAGTAATGGGTGGTGGACTGTACCCACTCCAGAAACTAGGAATGAACTTCTGGCACATTTGTCTAGTCTTTCATGCCAGAACATTCATTGTGTTATCCAAGTAAAGCATGAAAGAGCATCCAATGAAAAGATGTGCTGTCTTAGGCTTACCCCTAGGCCTTAGGGCTTGAAATCACTCATTTAAAAAGATAGCGTGGCCAAGCCTTCTCAAATCCTGACCAAAACCTTGCTAACGAAGGAGACATTATGATTACATACTTTGAGAGGGAATACAATTTAAAATTCTTAGCCAGAATGAGAGACCCAATAGACAATTTTTGATGGTCCTCCTGTGTGATAGATACTGTTGTGGGTTGCAAATTGATTGAGAATTTTCTGTTTTACTGCATTGGAGTTTGGTAGGAACATATTCAAGCCCTTTGCTTTTCCCTTCCTATGCATTGCATTGGAGTTTTACTATTTGCTTTAGTCATTTGGATTTATCATGTGAAACTTCTTCAAGCACTTTATATTTTTCTTTGCAGGAGCTGCTACTTGCTGCCATTGACATGGTGGACGCAAATTCAAAATCCGGGGGATACATTGTATACTCCACTTGCTCAATAATGATTCCTGAGGTTTGTTTCTGAGGATACCCTTAGGTAGTGTTTGGTTTACTGGAATAAAGATGGATTGGAATGGAATGGTCATTCTTTGGCCTCCTTATGAATGATCATTCCTTTACAATATTGTGAATGATGATTCCATTTAAAATGCATTTTCTATCATTTTCTTAGTGAACCAAGCGTGAGAATGGACATTTTGATTCCATTCCACTTCGTTCCAATGTACCAAACATAACATTAGGATATTCACTAATGATTCCCAAGGTTTCTAATGATTCGCTATATACACTAAATCTTGCAGAATGAAGCAGTTATAGACTACGCTCTCAAGAAGAGGAATGTAAAACTTGTGCCATGTGGTCTTGACTTTGGGCGTCCTGGGTATTGATGATTTCTTCCTATAGTAAAGTTACAAGTAGATAGTTTAGCAATGTAAAATTTTATTTAATGATGCTTCTTCTCTTTACCACCAGATTTGTTCGGTTTAGAGAAAGCCGTTTCCATCCCTCTTTAGAGAAGACGAGACGTTTCTATCCCCATGTTCACAACATGGATGGGTTTTTCGTGGCCAAGGTATATCACAAAATTGTAAATCGTACTCTGCATTTCGAAGTCCAGTTTTTTTTTTTTAATGAGGTCCAAGTCCTTTTGAAGATCTATTTTGGGTGGCATTGACAAGCCTGGAAGATATTTTAAATTCTGCTTAATACTTCGATGATTTGATAATTGAACATTGGATATATGATATGCGGGTCAAAGTTGTGTTTTTTGGGGGGGTGCTATACAAGTCCTTGGGTAGAAGAAATCATAGCCTCGAGCCCTAGTAAGTTTTGATTTCTATCCTTCTGTTTGTACCTTGCAGTTGAAGAAAATGAGCAATACCAAGCCAAATCCAACAGCTTCTGAACCATCAGCGACAGTGGAGCAAGGTCCTGAACCTGTTGAACCATCAGCAACAGTTGAGCAAGGTCCTGAGCCAGTTGTTGATAGCAGTGGTGCTAAGAATGCTGAAGGAAAATTTCAATTGCATTCAAAGAAAGAAAGCACTACAAAAGAAAGTGGGAAATTGGAGAACAGTTTTCCTAAAAATGGGAAAGATGCATCACCATCCATTACTCGAAAGAGGAAGAAAATGAAACGCCCCTCTAGGGAGGCAATTTGGAGAGCAAAGTACATGCCTCTCTTCTCTTTTATTATATTCCATTAGAATCATTGCTTTTTAATATCCATTAAATCAAAATTGAATTTAGATTATATGTGATTGCAGCCTTCGTGCTAAGAATGCTGAATTGCGTTCAAAGCAAGAAGGCACTACAGAAGAAAATGGGAAATTGAAGAACAGTTTTCCTAAAAATGGGAAAGATGCATCCGCATCCACCACTATAGAGTGGAAGAAAATGAAAAGCCGTTCGAGAGAGGAAATTTCAAAAGAAAGGTACACAACTCTCTTACTCTTCTATTCCATTAGAAGCATCATTTTTAACACCCATTAAATCAAAATTGAACTGAAATTCTATGTGATATTGTTTTATGGAATGAAAGAGAGAATGAGCATCCAGTAAGGCCTTGTTTGGTAATGTTTCCGTTTCATGTTTTCGGTTTTTGTTTTCCAATTTTTTGGAAATTGGAATCGAAAATGTGTTTGGTATATTGTTTTTGTTTTAAAAAATGTGAGATTGATTCCAAAATTTCAAATTTTTAGAAATGAAAAAAAGGTATTTCAGCTTGTTTTTGCCCTCTCCCTACCCTACCACCTCTGGCCATCGGCCCATCCCCTGACCTCCGGCCAGCCCCAACCAACTTTTGACCAACAGATTGACAGGGAGCTCTGGCCATCTTCTGGCAACCCTTCATTCAACCCTTGACACTCCGGCCATCAACTCTGGTGCCCACCGCCAGCCACTCTCACCCTCCACACTGGCTCCACCTCTGGCAACTTACCCAACAGTTTCTCTATATTTGTTTTCATTTATTAAAAAAAGAAGAAGAAAATAACAATGTTATCAAACAATACCTTAAATAATGGAAAACCCTGCATACCTCAAAAACATTTCTTCTATAGTTGGAGGGGAAAAAAGGGAACAAACATTGATTTGGTACAGTTAGAAATCTTTTTATCTTTTGAAATTCCTGCAGGGAAGAGAAGAGGCAAGCTTTGAGGGAAGAAAAGAAAAATCCTAGAAGGGAAACAACGCCTGCTAGGGAAAAGAAAAAAGCTACGAGGGAAACGACGCCTGCTAGGGAAAAGAAAAAAGCTACGAGGGAAACGACACCTGCTAGGGGGAAGGGTGGAAAAGTTCAGTGATCCCATGAAAAGCAAATGAAGTGCAATGGTTAACCCTAATTGCTTTTGGCATACCACCGGTAAAGCACCTACTTGCAATTTGAAAGAGGTTTCGAGGGCTCTACATAAGCTTCATCACTGCTATCAGATCACGTGACCGAGGAATGAGTTGAACACCTCGGAAGTGCGACCACGCCATGGCTTTGGCCTTGGCTACTTATCTTAAATTATCTTTTATAACCCGTGTCGGACATAGCGTTGGACTAACTCGCCTCCCTTTGTAGGCTTTACTGAAGCCTAAAAAGTTTTGTTTTCTTGAGTTTTCTCTAGTATATGCCATGCTATTGTTGTTATAATTATAGTCAAGTTGTTTTTCCTAAAAAATCATATTACTTTATTGGTGAATTTTAGTATGTTCTTTTTGAATTCCATTTGGAATGTTATCAATACGTTAATGGCATTCAAATTTTGAAACCAAAATTAAATGAAAATTTGAATGCCCTAGAAATGACATACAATTAAATATATAACTAAAGAAGTGCTCAAATTTTGATGCATGATATATATTTTAACTTTATGTGATATTAACTATGCCTAATAATTTGATGGGTCATTTTTATTTTTCTCTTAAATCATTCTCAAATTTCTATTTTATATTTAAATTATCAATCTGTCGATAAAATTTACGATTTTAGTTCATAACCAATTGGATATGCTTGATCCAATTAGTAAACATTGGAAGCCTAACTTAGGCACTGATTGGTAATCTCTAAAAAAGTAATCTGTTGGGTAATCTCTAAATAAGTAATTTTTTAGCTAAATAACGTAAAAGTAAAAATCATGTTTAGTTTGGTAGAAAAAATAATTTCTCCGTTAAAAATAAAATAAAATAAAAAGGTCAACAAAATTATTAAAAGATGATTTTACGTTCTATATTTGAAGAACTTATTTGTTGTATCTCTTTTGTTATGCTAACAAAGACTCTGTAATATTATGGGGTAACATGATAATTTCTCATGCAAAAGTAAAATTTTGAATGTGTGGTGCTATTATCTTCTTATAAATTATTTTTGACTCTTCATTTCTTTAGACCATTACTTATAAATTTTGAAACCCTAAAAATTTCTTTTCTTCCACCAAATAATACTAAAATTATTCTTTAAACATTTCACCCACTGAATACACACTCCCCACACTTTCAAAAAAACCTCCCTTCCAAAAAATCTTAACAAAATCCACTAAGAAGAAGAAGAGTCTTGTCATTTTCAAAACCCACAAAGAAGAAGAAGAATAAGAAGAAGAAAAAGAATACTGTTTTTGCCAGTTTAACCAATTTCCTATCTGATATTTTTCATTGTTCTCAAATTCAAGCTCTTGATTTGAGCCACAATAATCTTTCAGGGCATGTTCCAATACAAAACTTGTCTATGATTGTCACCAATTTTACTTATGTTAACCTATTATACAATCACTCATCGGAGATTAGAATCTCTGATTTCCAGTCCTTAAAATGGTTCAGTTATTTGAATTTTCTTCATTTTGGACTTATCCCATATCACAAGAAGTTCAAAATCAATCTTCGGTTACCAATTCCCGAACAAATAAATAATGTTCGGGCCTATATTCCCGAATTTTGATCATATGTTCGGGAGTTCAGTCCTAAAAAATACGAGCAGATTTTATTATTTTTGTCATTTTTTTAAAAAAAAACTTATCGTTATAAGACCAATCTCTTCTAAACTAAGAATAACATCAAAGTTATGAACCTCCTCTAAATTTTTATTATTGTACTCCTCCCATCTTATGGAATTATGGTTGGTAGAAAAAATTTCACTCATTGTCATAGCCGGAAAAGTGTAGGTAATCAAATGGTTGCCACCGTTACTACTGGAAATATTGCCGCTAAAGGGTTTTCAATGTTTTGAGGGTGGATAAGTTTTGAAGGTGGGATTTAGAAAAGATGGATGGGCAGTGATGGAGGTGTGTATTCTCATAAATCTTAATTCATGATGTAGTGTGTGTAATTGTGAGATGAAGTGTCCTAAAATTAATGATGTCCTTTGTAGTAATTTTATTTGATATTATTATTGTAATAAGAAAAAAGCTAAAAATTAAAAAGTCCAAAATAATATATGAGGTGCTAATAACAGCACTCATTTGAATTGACTCACAAAAGTTTTCTATAACAAAAAAATTACTTTAAAAAAGTTTGTTAAAACCCACTGTAATGAGCAAAAAGATAAATTATCAATTGGAGCAGCACAAATCATGTAACTAAGAACTCATCTTCTTGCAACCAAACATCCATTTTCTTTTCAATCCTTTCATTTCCCCCTTGTCTCTCATCCTCTCCATTTCTTCATCAAGGTTTGTTTTGATAACTAACTACTTTAATTAAAAAAAATCAAAAAATCACTACAAAAAAATTTGTATATGACACTTTTCCCCCGTCTAAATATCAGACTTCTACAAAAATTGAATTTGGACTGCACACATCCTTCTTGGTATAAATTTCTAATTGTTAGTTTTATTGTTATTGATTTAAACAAATTAACTCTATTTTTTATTTTTGGGTAAAAACTCAAGGAGAAATTACTAATTAAAAGTAATTAAAAAATTTTATTACATCCGTATGAAAAAAATTATAATTACAATTATTAATATTAAAATTTATCATTGTAATCATTTTTCAAGTTTCGAACTGACATAAAATTTTCCCAAAACTAAACCCTAATTTGATTCACACATTTTAGGAGCCCCACTAAAACCTTTTGGCCAAAACCCTAAACCCTAACATCACAGCCCCTCTCTCTCATTCATCTCCAAAACCTTCAATTCTGTACAAAATCCACATTCTTTTGCTACGCAAAGCGAGAGAGAGAGAGAGAGAGAGCAATCATGCCTAAGGTTCCGATTTGGGACTTACCAGACGTGCCCAAAGGCGAGCTCCCTCCACATCTCGAACTCCAGAGAACCCGCGTTCTCTGCAATTCCGATGCTCCTACTCATGTATTACTCTTCTTCTTCTTCTCTGCTTCATTCTATTTCATATAGTCATACTTTCAATGTATTTGTATGTATACAAAGTTGCTATCTTTGTATTTGAATTGTTTTGTTTGTGCCTTACGATTTCTGGGTTTTGTTCTTTTTGGGATTAAAGACAGAGAACATACAATACTCTGGTGCTTATGCATCTATGGGAGTTGATAACAGCTTAAGATTGGACCATTTTCGCAAAAAATTTAAAGTGGAAGTGATTCGACTTACCGAGGATGATATGGAATTTGACTTGATTGGTATCGATGCTTCGCTTGCTAATGCTTTTCGGAGGATCCTCATATCCGAGGTGCGCTTTTTAAGGGGGGAAAAAAAAAACTCATTTTCGTATTTCTTATTGATCTGTTGAATTCAAGTTTGATTTTTCATGGTTCAAGTCCTCAGTCAAATAATTGTTCATATCTTACTCGTATGTTTGCCTTCTTTGAGGTCTTCCATATGATTTAGTATATAACCCATATAATTAATCATATCTATATTTGATGAAATGGTTGTAATTTCAATGTTGGGATTGGGACACAATTTTTTCACTTTATGTAGCATAGTAAATAGTAAACAAGCCTAGCCCAGCCAAGTAGTAAGTTGTTTAAACTGGGTTGAAAATGAGATATAATTAAGCTGATCTTGAGTAACTTAACTTGGTTTTAATTTTTTAATTTTTTATATATATATATATAGTTTCCTAGTGTATATACTTATTGAGCCGAGCTTATAAAATTTGACGATTTTTGAAACGGTGTTGAATCTTGGCTTGTTTACATAACAACCTGATTTTGAATGAGCTTTTAATGAGTCACAAGTCGAGTTCTAATAGCTTGGTTTTACATCCCTACATGTTGGTATGGGATCATTGTGATGCCTCACTAGAGATGGGCTATGGAACACATTTGATGAGATGAAGAGATAATTCTTTCACAAGGCCATCAAACAGTGACCATGTTAGTGATGTAAGATTTTCATAGAAACTTTTCTTGATTTGTTAACTTTTGATGCCAAATGTTCAATTCAATACCCCCCCCCTCTCTCTCCCTCTCTTTCTTCCTTTCTTTATTTGAATGGAATTATGTTTTTACAGTTTCGAGTTTAGTATTGATTTGGTGATTGAAATATTCCACTACTTGAGTTTTCATATATATATATATATATTGAGTGATAAAAAAAACAGAAAAAAGAGTAGCTCCATTTCCAATGTGTATAAGTAGGCACACGGGCACCCATAGAGACATGAGTACATACATATTTAATGCACGAAATCCCTCCATTAGTAACTGTTGCGTTTGCTGGTGCATGGCAGTATGTCACTTGGTGCTAAATTTATGAAATTTTTTCTTGTATACTGGTTTTTGCATGCAGATTCCCACAATGGCTGTTGAGAAGGTTCTTATTGCAAACAATACATCAGTAGTCCAAGACGAGGTGCTTTCACATAGATTGGGTCTCATCCCAATCAAGGTTGACCCAAGACTGTTTGATTATATGTCAGGTTTTATCTTATTCCTTGTAGTTAATTTGATGTTTTATTCTTTCACACCTACCTGGGGTGTATTCACGACAAGTGTGCTAAATGGAAAAGTAACTTTCTTCCATTATATCAGAAAATGATGTACCCAATGAAAAGAACACCATTGTTTTCAAACTCCACATCCGTTGTGAACGAGGTGGTCCACGTCTTACAGGTAATGTTGATTGGTTGTACATACATATACAATTCTCAAAGCTTCAATGTTTCCCTGCACTTGATTATTCTCATTTTTCTAGAATCTTGATGTGTTGTTCATGCCTGTAAAAAACAGTAAAATCAGATGAGCTGAAATGGTTACCAAATGGGAGTGAGTTTCTGCTGGCCACAGAAAATTCAACTTCGAATTCAACCTCAAAGCCAAAGACATATACTTCATTTCGTTGTAGTCAAGATTCCTTGCAAGAATTTTCCAACAATCCCATTGCCCCCAAGCATCCAGATATTATTATATCTAAACTTGGACCAGGCCAGGTATTGTATTCTTTCGTTCATGTTTTTGTTGGTGATTAAGCTTTATTTGGCTTAAAAAAGTATTCGCCAGCATAGTAAATATTGGATTGACAATTCCTGAAAATATCTCCCAACTATTAAATAATACGATAAGTTGATATTTATTGAAAGCCTCAGAGTTGCTTTTGCAGCAGCATGAAGTTGCTCATTGGGATGACTCATAAAAGCCAGCTTATTGAACAAATATGGCTCTCTCAACAGCATTTAATGAGTTTCCATGTATAATTTCAAGCTCTAGACATACCTCCATCACATTTCTTGACCATATAAGAGCACAATTAATGATAGATTGTAATTTGGTTGGTTAGTCTCCTGAAAGTTACAAGTGCGTAAGCCCCTTCGGAATATGCAGTTGCCCTCCACCCCAACCCTCTCTTTTCTTTTTCTTCTTTCTCTTTCAGAAGATGCCCACTGGGACAATGGTATTTCACTTTGGCACCTCCGAAGTGGTTGTTGTAGCACTTGCTTTTATATGAAAAATAAAAGCTGTTCTACCTTTCATGCCAAGAAAATTGACATTTATATTACTTGTATTATGTATCAAGGGTATGCTATTAGGACTGCACTTGATGCTGAACATTGCCAGATTTTTGTAGACAATGTTAATGTTAAATTTATTCACCCAAAAAAAAAAAAAATGTTGATGTTAAAGCTAGTGGGCTGGTGATTCTACAAACTGAATGGAATCACTTAAAAAATGAGGATTCAATTAAATTAATGTGTTACTGAAAACTCCTTTGCTTGCCAAGAGTTAAGAGAGAGGAGAAAGCTTGAATACATTTATTAGTTTGTAAGCTGGATGTAGAGAGAAAAGAAGAAAAGGGGAAGGACATGATACATTTTTGCTCATTTTAAAGTGCTTTTTACGTGGGTCTGAGATGTTAACTTCTCTCTAAGTCACTCCAAATCTCTTCACACTGAAGTTATCATTTTTGTGGGTTGGGAGAGATAACATTGTCTTCTAATCACTCCGTGCCCCTACATCAAACATTCTTTGAAATTTTGCGGGTAATTTTAGAGTTCTCGTTTATGAGGTCTAATTTTGGATGTCTCGTTTATCTTTATGAAATTATGCTTCTTTTCTAGGAAATTGAACTGGAAGCACATGCTGTTAAAGGCATGGGTAAAACACATGCAAAGTGGTCCCCTGTGGCCACTGCTTGGTATAGGATGCTCCCCGAGGTAAATGACACTTTTAATTAGCAGTTTCTGTGAATATGTCTGAAAAATGCACCTCCTGGTTTCTTTCAAAAGTTATGAGTTTTTATGTTTTTACTTCTGTAGGTTGTTTTGTTGCAAGAAGTTAAAGATGAGAAAGCAGTAGAGCTTGAAAAAAAATGTCGTGTTAAAGTATTTGACATTGAAGATGTTGGTAATGGTAAATTGATTCAATTTCTCTGTCTGATTTGTTCATTATACACTCAAGCTCAATGAAGCTGATGGCCTTCTTTTCCCCCTCCTTCAATTGCTTGATGGGATATAAGTGAGATGGTGTGTGTTAAAATTGTCTATCATATTGGCTCTTGAGTAATGATTTGGTTGTTGAACAGGTAAGACGAGGGCAACTGTGGCTCGACCACGAGCTTGTACATTGTGTAGAGAATGCATTCAAGAGGAAGGGTGGGACAAGTATGTGGCACTACGTCGTGTGAAAGATCATTTCATCTGTAAGTAATCCAGTTTGCGTGCATCATTCTGAGCTAGACAGTCCATCCCTGACTATATTAAATAGTGATAGTCTACAGAGTCCATCGTACTTATTTCCACTTTGGAATGAAGACATATTTGCATTGGTAGCTTGTCTAATACCTGTATTAGAGGCTAAATGACCAAATGGCTATGTTATCTATCAAATATGACTTCAGTTAGCTAGAGAAAGATTCATACAATTCAACTCAACAAGCCTTTGTCCCTATTACTTGGGGTGGGCTATATGGATCCATTTCCTCCAATTAGTTTTATTCGAAGTTATATCCTTAATTAAGTTTAAGATTTTCATGTAATATTTTTTCGCCTCAACCTAAGTTCTTCTAGTCCTTCCTCTAATACTTTTACCACCCTACACATGGATCAAATCACTCCTTATAGGAGTGTTAATTGGCCTCAGATGCACATAACTATACTATCTCAAACTACGTTCTCTTACTGTATCTTCAATTGGTGCCATTTTTAACTTCTTCCTATTGAATTAATTTCATATTTTATCTTTTTCTATACTACCGCTCATCCATCTCAATATTTTGATTTTAGTCGCACATTTTTTTAACATGTTTTTTTTTCTTAACCACCCAACAAAAAATCAGTATTGTACATTATAGCAGGTCTTCTAGCATTCTTATACGTTCTTTTCATACGACTTAAATAGAAATCCTAAGATCACACAACACTTCTGATGCACTCTTCCACAACAATTATCTTGCCCAAATTCTATGGGGCATGTCGTCCTTAGTCTCTTTGTTTTTACAAATAATTTACCTAACATATTGAAAATGATTATTTTGAGCTATATCCTCATGCCCATCAAGTTTTTCTCTACCTTCACCCAAAAGTCCTGCTTAACTTAAACATTTTAGTTTCTAAAGTATCTCTCAGCAGTTCTAGCTTAAAGTTTATTCCTCTTGTTTTGTCGACTGAATTATATCGTCTTCGATAACATGTACCTTGGGATGTCCTCTTGAATGTTCCTAGTAAGTTCAATCCATAACAGATGCACAAAGGTAAGACTTAGTGATCTTTAATGTAAACCTATTATTATTGGCAATGCACTTGTTTCTCATACTAGTCATAGCCTAATAGGCACCTCAATTCTATCTTGGACCCTTTCTTTGTTACACCTGCATGCACGCTGGGGCTATCCTTATGTTTTATTTAGATGAATTTAATTTCTCACTATTATCTCTGTAAGGTTTTGAGGATTAAAATGTTATTAATATGTATTTCATTTTTTTTCCCTTTCACTAGTTACCATAGAGTCAACTGGAGCATTACCACCTGAAGTGCTGTTCACTGAAGCTGTGAAGATTTTGGAAGACAAGTGCGAGCGTCTGATAACTGAGCTCTCTTGATGTTTTTTTGTCTTTATTATGTTGAATGTAGTACCTTGCTGCAAAAATGATGAGCCTTCTGAAAAAAAGGTTTGCTAATATATGCATTTCCTCCCTGGATTATTTATTCATTTTTCTTCATTAATCTGAAACATAGCTAAATTTAGCTTTGTTGTGAATTATTGAATCTTTGATTCAGTCACAGAAGTGTTATTTCGGGATTAATTGTGGACCAGTTTTGCTCTATCAAATGTGGATTATTTTAACCTGGATTATTAATCAAGTCCAATTCTGCAAACCAAACAGAGGCTATTTCTTAAAAGCTTGGGTTAGTCTCTTTTGGGATTGGAATCATGTTAGCATCAAAGTGATCAAGATTTATACCCTTTGTTAGCTCTGAGTCTAAACCAATAATGTTCTTGCTTTGAATTCAGTGTGCTTGTGAAACAAGATGCAATGCTTTTTTTCAGCAAAGCGAAACTACATCTCTTCATAGGAAGTACATAAGAAAAGAGAACATGAGTAGTAAAGTGATGAAGAAAGAACATGACTTGTGCTAATTGTCAAATTTAGATACTTCCTTGAGGAAGAAAACAGAATTACCATACATGGTCGTACTAAGTTATGGGGGCAAGATGTGACCTTACTAGCTCACCTCAAGACAAAGGTTCCGTTTGGTAGAGCTGTGAAAAAGTGATTATAATTTATACCCTAACAGTTTATACCTTATAGTTGTGAACATAAGTTGATTTTTGACTTATAAATTAAGATTCTCCTCTCCCACTCAAAGAATAAGTTGATTTTTGACTTATAAAAAGTTATAAGCTGTATTGTTAAGCTGAACAAAATACATAAAAATAGTTTAAATTAAGTTAAAAACTACAATAAGCTGAAAATAAGTCCTACCAAATAGGGCTAAATGCTAGTAGTAAACACCACTGGATTGTATGATATTATTCACGTAGTGTTTTTAATCAATGACGTAGTCCAAAGTTTTACAAGTAGAATAATATTGACTTATTTTTGTTAAATAATTGTGAAATAAAAACTTATCTATCTAGTGTGTTTTGTGGTTCTTTATTTGTTAGACCACCAAGTGGATAGTATGACGTGATATTCTAGAATTATTTAATAATTTTTTTTTCAAAAAAATTTTAAATATTGTAATTTTATGACGACAAAAGAATAATGTTAAATGTAAAAATAATGTTTTATCGGTTTAATGCATTTTTTTTTATAGAAAATCTGTAATACACACCTCATATTATGTCAAAATTTGAATAGCTCGTTAAATCAGAACTTAAAATTACAATTCAATGTAATTTAAATTATAATTACATTTGTTTGTGTGAAATGTCCGCCATCTTGTGAAGCGAAACAATATATTTACACAACTTCTGGACTTTGATTCCCATCTGAGCTGTCTTTGTTTTGCCAAAGTGATTAAACAATCAAATCAAATCAATCTAGAAATTTTGTTGTTAGTTTTTCACTGTAAAGATCCAAAAAAATATAACCCAAAGTTACTCAGAAGAAAAGAGACAAAATTTTCCTAAGAAAGATCCCCTCTTCTTTGACCTGTCTTCTCACACAAGAAAATTTGGACAGACTTGGTATTAAAAAAACCAGAATCAGATATTAAAAAAAAAAAAAAAATCACAAGAACACCTATATTTTGAGAATAATCCATCACATCTTGCCTCATGACAAATAAAGAAGAAACTCACACAATTTTAAAATATATCAAGTTTTATAAATTTGACTTAATTATATAAATTTCAATTTACTAAGATTAAAGCAATAGAACTAATGTAAATAATGTGTAAATATAATAATAAAGAAGGGAAAATACACATTTCACTATAAAAAAAAATAACAATAGCATTTTTCTACATAAGTCTACTGAATTATTGATGAAAAAGGGGTTTAGATCATTCTCTGTTCTATTCAGATTTTCAAAAATTGGTATGCCAATTTTTTTTGAAAGTTTAACTAATAAATTGGCATGCGCAAATTTGACATCTCTAAAAAGCACTTCACCATATGCTAAATTTATTATTTTACTATTTTACTACTTTTCACTTTAAACTTTTATGAACTCTTTTATTTACTAATTAGAATGATTTATTTTTTGAAATTGACCATTAAAATAATAATAAAAAAATCAAAATCTGCAAAAAAAAAAAAAAAAAGCAGAGGAAGAGGAAGAAGGAGTTGCATAACCACCACAAACCAAATCCAAAATCAAACCCAAACCAAACCCAAAATCAAACCCACACAGCCACCATAAATTAGAACTCACAGCCACAAATCAAAATTATGTTCAAATCACATACAACTCTTTATTCTCAATTTCCTTCAATATATATGTTTTTTTTTTGCTTTCTTTCCATTCTATTCCAATCTAAGACTAACTTTTTGAAAACCCAAAATGAGAAGGGAAAGAAGAGCTATTCAGAAATGGCAAGAATTCTAATCAACATTTGATTGAATTTGGTGATATGCATATCATTTATATCATATAAATGTGATGAAATTGAGTTGTTAGTTATGAAGAATGAATGAATGTAGGCTGGTAATCAAAGGCTTTCAACCATGGACCGAAAACTCCAGCATTCCCCACCACGAAACTTTTCTGATCTCTGTTTTTATCTCACTACTTTCTCTCTACTCTCTCTCTATATCATATGACATATACCCTCCCTACCTTCTCTCTCTAAAAACTCTTTTCCCCTCTTTCTCTCTCTCTCATCTTCTTCTCTCTCTCTCTCTTTCTCTTCTATCCACCGCTGATGCCGACCGTTGATTTCCCTCCCCAACCCCCTTCTTCCAATGCCGACACCAAACCCAGCAAACACGAAGCTCTTCTTTCTCTCTACTGATGAACGGTGACGCGACGACCAATGACGAATGGTGGTGGTCGGATCTCCTTGTCATCGTCACGATACTTCGGCGGCGGCGGAGGTGGTCGGAACAATGGTGAAGAGAGAAGAGGGAGAGGAGGGTTGAATGGTTTCACAGATGAGAGAGAAAAGAAAGAGGAGAAATTTACACCCCCAGTCACGTGACTATCACATGAGTGCCACCTCACTGGGTGTCACCGGGGGTCGGGGCAACTGGGTGTATGAGGCATTTCTCAAAAAAAAATAACAATAGCATTTTTCTACATAAGTTTACTGAATTATTGATGAAAAAGGAGCTTAGATCATTCTCTGTTCTATCAGATTTTCAAAAATTGGTATGCCAATTTTTTTTGAAAGTTTAACTAATAAATTGACATGCACAAATTTGATATCTCTAAAAAGCACTTCACCTGATATGCTAAATTTATTATTTTACTATTTTATTACTTTTCACTTTAAACTTTTATGAACTCTTTTATTTACTAATTAGAATGATTTATTTTTTGAAATTGACCATTAAAATAATAATAAAAAAATAAAAAATGAGACAAATTTATTATTTTACTATTTTACTACTTTTCACTTTAAACTTTTATGAACTCTTTTATTTACTAATTAGAATGATTTATTTTTTGAAATTGACCATTAAAATAATAATAAAAAAATCAAAATTGACATTCTCTCATTGTTGGAGAATTTGGCAGGGCTAAAGTCTATGCCCTATTTCACGTCAACTCTAATATAGAGTTTCGGTTGGATATTCTTAAAGATTCCGTAAATTAAAATTTTAAAAGAATTTAATATAATTATGTGAAATTTGTAAGACTCGATGTATTTATTTATTTATTTTTTAAATTTCATGAGAAGTTAATGAGAATTTGTATAGAAAGAAGAAACCTAAACTAAGGTGATGACATAATAATTGTGATTATAATTTGGATACAATTTTACCAATATCACTTGGTATGGGACTAATCAAAACATTTGGCAACAAAACCTTTTATATAGTAGTGTTTTTTTTTCCAAAAAATGCTTTGGGAAATTACACCATTGCTTTATATTTAATCCTAAAAAGAAACTTTGGCATTCTTTCTCTCTCTTTTCTTTATGAAGACACTACCTAACATGATCCCCACCAATGAACTCATTTCATAGCTCGAAACTTATGGGGCTCGAATGGCTCGAGTAGAAAATGACGATGTTTTGAATTTTTTTTTTCTTTTTCTTTCTCTTTCTCGTTTTTTCTGAAGATGAAAGATATCAAAGTGAAGAAGAAGAAGAAGAGGAAGAGAAGAGGAAGCTGGAGCTGGAGCTGGAGCTGGACAACTCAACATCTTCATCATCATCTTCATCAACATCATCATCATCATCATCAACACATTATCATCATCAACAATTTTTATTTTTTATATTTATTTTTTTTCAGATCTTGATCTACTTAGAAAAAAGAAAAAAAAGAAGAAGAAGAAGAAGAAGAAGAGAAAACAGAACATCAACAACATCAACATCAACATCAACATCATAAGAAGCAAAATTCATAAGACAGGTTTGAATTTTTGCTTCATCATCAATAATTTTTTTTTTCCAAATCCAGATCTACTTAGAAAAAAAAAAAAAAAAGAAGAGAAAACAGAGAGATCGGTGATACACAGAGAGATCGATGATATCTACCGGCGCTGCCACCATCACCGTCGATCATCTCCTCTCCTTCTCTGTCGCCTCTCCTCTCCTCTCTTTTCTCTCTCTCTCTCTCTCTCTCTCTCTCTCTCTCTCCTCTTCTCTTGTCTGTGCTCGAAAGAAAAAGAAAGAAAAAAAAATTTGCCCAAAACGACGTCGTTTTGGGCAATTCGGGCCATTTGAGCCTCATCAGTTTCGAGCTACGAATCACTTTTGCCCACGAATAAAGGATAATGAAAGGCGCCCTGCTATGTAGCTCGAAAGTCTTTGTCTCGAAATTACATTTTAGTCAACTTGGTGCTGCTGTAGCTGTGTAGATACACCAACCTTTCATTTCATTTCAAAAACAAAACAAAAAAAGAAAAAAAAAGAAAAAGAATAAAAGAACAGAACACCGTCTGGTCTGGTCGTAACCTAGCTTGTGCCGCCGCTGTTGCTGTTTCATCGGAGTGGAAGAGGAGGAAGTTTGTGTGCCGCAGAGCAATTGGAGTTGTGCTTGAGTTGTGGATAATGTATTTCCTCTTCAAACATTGCTCTGTAACTATTGTCATTATGGATGCCATGGCTGCTAGTTAAGATGATTGTGGTTGCTATGGTTGCTCTTCCATTGCTCTATCATAAGATTATTGTTAAGCTGATTGTGAAAATAACATTATTGTTAAGGAAAATGATTGTGAAAATAAGAGGTACCCCAA